TAAATATCAATTAAGTCCAATTGATATAGGTCATCATTTAAGAACTTTATGTCCTTGTAAAGTTTTTGTCTGAAAGATCTATGCAGTGGTGTAAGTGGAGTATTAAAGCCACCGACTAAGATCATATTGCTATTGATCTCCTCCATTAAGTCCTCCAGAAATTATTCATCATATTTTGGAGCTTCGATATTTGGTGCGTATATGTTTCCATGTGCTATATCCTCTTGTCAGAATGATCCTTTTAATATTATCTAGTGACCTTCTCTGTGTCTTCTTAGGGCCTCATTTTGAAGTCTGTCTTCTGGGATTAGAGGATCGCTACACAAGCTTTTTTGTTCCTTTCCATTGGTTTGGTAAAGCTTTTTTCCATCCCTTCACTTTCATCTTGCGTGAGCCTTTTTTTGTGAGGTGAGATTCTTGTAAACAGTATACATATGGGTCATGTTTCCTTATACAATCGAGGACCCTATGTCTTCTGTTTGGAGCATTTACATTATTTACACTTAAGGTTATTCTTGCTAGATAGTACTTAGTTGCCATTGTAAACTTATGCCTGTGTTCTTCTTTCTTTTTCTCTTTTTCTTCTTCCTCTTCTTACAACAGTCCCTTCTGCAATTCTTGCAGTGCTGGTTTGGGGGTGGAAAACTCCTTTAGTTTATTTTTATTTTTAATCCACGAAGCTCTTTATTTCTCCATTCAATTCAAATGATATTTTTGCATTACTTTGTATACTTAATTTGACTCACTTCTCACCTGCAGTGTTTTTTTGTGAGAACCAGCTGACAGTTTAACGGGAGTTCCCTTGTAGTTAACTTTCCGTGTCTCTCTTGCTTCCTTTACGATTATTTCTTTGTGTTCAATGTTTGCCATTTTTATTATAATGTGTCTAGCTGTGGGTCTTCTGGGGTTCATCTCCCTTGGGACTTTCTGTGTCTCCTGGACTTGTATGATATTTTCCTTCACTGGTTTAAGAAAGGTTTCTGCCATTATTTCATCAAACAGCTTTTCTATTCCTTTCTTTGATTCTTCTCTTTCCGGTACACTTATAATGTGAATGCTGTTATGTTTTGTAATATCCCACAGCTCTTTTAATCTCTCCTCCTGCTTTAAAAAAAATTTTTTTTTTCATTTGCTGCCTATTAGGGGTGATTTTCCTCTAACTTGTCTTGTAAATCACTGATTCGGGCCTCAGCTTCTTCTATTGAATCCTTCAAATGTATTTTGCATATCAGCTATGCCATTCTTTATTTCCTCTTGATTTTTATGTATAACTACTATCTTTTTACTCATTGCTTCTACCTCTTTTTTTTATAGCTGAAGTAGTTTCCAGTGAGCTCTTTATAATTCTTATTCAGTTGCTTGCAGTTCTCACCAAATTGAGCACCCTTATATTCATTGCTTTGAATTCTTTGTTTGACAAGTTGCTTTCTTCTAGTTCCTGTAGTTGCATTTCTGGTGACTCCGTTTTTTTTTTTTCTATTTGGTTGTTGTCTCTTTTTCTCACCATTTTAGCAAATTGCTCATTCAAAGCTTGGTGAGGGATGTTGGAATATGTACGCAGGTCAATGTGTACCAATTAAGGATGCTGTGCCCCTGTGTGGTATTAGTGTTTGGCTCCTCTTGTCTGCTGTGGGTGCTGATATGTTGTCTCCTGGCAGCTAGAATTGGTCTCTCGTGCTGGTCTTGACTCCCCAAGATTTATTGCTGCTTGGGCTGGGGCACCACTTTTGATGGGCTTTGGCTGATATTGCTGGGTATGAGTATTAGGTACTGATACGTCCTCCTATTGCTTGGGGGTTCGCCGGTTTGTCACGTGCCCTTCTGAGGTGTGGGGAGCTTCTGGGATGCTACTGGGGTGTGTGGAGTTCCACTAGTATACTGTTGAGGTATATGATTTCCAATGGCATGTTGCTGGGATTCATTGGTCCCTCTGGAATGTTGCTGGGGCATGTGGGTCCAGTTGGTGTCCTTCTGGGGTTTGTGGATGTTTTCAGTACGCTGCAGGGGTTTGAGGGATCCACTGGTGCACATCTTGGTTTTGTGGGTTCCTCCGGAATGCTGTTGAAATGCATGGGTTTTACTGGTGTACTGTTGTGGGACAATGCTGACCGTTGGGGCTCAGCTCCTCATCAGTCACTGCTGGGGGCCAGTGTCAGCTCTTGGTTCACACTGCTACTGCTTGGGGTTGCGCAGGTTTGTCGGGAGCCCTGCTGAGGTGTGGGGGCCTTCTGCTATGTTGCTCGGGTGTGTGGGTTTCCCAGTAAACTACTGTAGTGTGTGATTTCCAGTGACATGTTGCTGGGAGTCATTGGTCACTCTGGTATGCTGCTGGGGCTTGTGGGTCCAGCTGGTATCCTGCTGGGTTTCGTGGATTTTGTCAGTATGTTGCTGGAGTTTGAGGGTTCCTCTGGTATGCTGCTGTAATGTGTCTTACTGGTCTACTGTTGGGAAACAATGCTGACCGTTGGGGCTCAGCGGCTAATCAATCGCTGCTGGGGGCCAGTGTCAGCTCCTGGTTCGCACTGCTACTTCTGCTCCTGCTACTGCCAGGGGATGCTCCCGGGTCCCAGTCTTTTAGTGCTGGTGGGAGGTGAGGATGTTTTTCACCTGAGATTTTGCAGCTGCTGAGGGAAGGGGCCCCAATCTAGCTCCATTTGAGCAGTAGTCAGGGGCAGGTCTCAGCTGCCCTAGTCCTGATACTTGGTTTTGGGCACAGCTCTTGATCGGTATTTGCGGATGACCTGCTGTAAGCCTTGAGCCTGGTGTCTGGGCTGGGCCACTCACCAGTGCAGGCTTGTGGCCTGATGCCTAAGCTGGCCCTCCGCAGCAGTCACCCTGGGCCCAGTGGTGAGTGCATTCCACCACGGGCCTGGTCCTGGGCTTTGGGTTAGGTGTGTGCCACTGCAGCCCTGAGTCCTGGGGTGGGTGTGTGCTGCCACTGCCCTGGGTCCTAGGCTGGGAGTGTGCACTCGTGGGCTTAGGACTGGAGCTACCTTTGTGCTACTGGTGGCTAAGAATCTGGAGCCTGAGTCCCATGGCACCACTGCATCCACAGGCCTGGATGAGCATCAGCTGCTGAAGGGGTGGGGTTCAGCTCCCATCTGGTTTTGGCTACTGCTCCAGGCACCTACTATGTGCTGACTGTGCCAACAGAGCTGAGTTCACTGGACACATTGTGCAGAATGCTCTCTTGCACTCAGGTGGCTGGGCCTAAACTGATCCATTTCCTACTGCCTGGGAAGACCCAGGATCATCTAATATGGTGGAAATGCACAGCTGTGCTGGGGAAAGTTCACTGGCTTCCCAATTACCACAGAGCCTTCTGCTTTCCATCCACAGCAAAGGAACCTTCTGCATGTGTCTCTGCACTGCTCAAGGTTGGTCTTCCATGCTTACATCCACTCACACTCTGTCTCACTTGCTATCACACTCTCACATATTCACCCACACTCTGGTCCTGCCCATCGCCATCTTCTGTTTTATTTATTTACACACTTTCTGAGAGATTGAAACTTTCAAGTATGTTTTCTATTTTATTGACTGTATAGGATTCATGCTGCTAGTACATTTACACAGGTTTCAGGTGTACCATTCTGTCTTATTCATTTGGATACTGTGCTGTGTATTCACCACACCAAGTCACATCCCCTTCCTTCCCCATATTGAGAAGATTGCCTTAGTGATCTCCACCTGAGGGGCACACTCTTGCTCCTCTGCTGCCAATTTCTCATCTACTTCCTCCTCCTCCTCCACATGTCAGATTTTTTGTATCGCCTCTGTTCCAGGAAGAAAGAGATGACCTCCATCAATCACCTCTTTGTAAAGATGGCTTGTCGGTTTGCTCTACTGGACTTGATTTTCCATCAAGACACTGAAATGATTACACATGACACAACATTAGCCAGGAGCTTGAGGTTCTCTGGAGCATCTTGAGCTTGCAGGACCTTCTAGGGGCCCGGCTCCTGCTTCTGCAGTAGGTGCACAGGAGCTTGGCGAAGAGAGGCTGACACCATAAAACAGGCCAAGAGGGAAGCTACTGGGCAACTTCTACCCACACTTCACCATACACCGGACGATTCCCAGTGCCACCACTCTAATTTGACACCACAGTTCTCACAAACCACTCTCTATTTTTGCACCCCAGGCTGCCTCTTTGCACACTACATTGTGATACCTTTTGGTACCTTGTAGCACACACACCAATGTGACACCTCTAATCTAACTTGCACACTTCCATGTGACACCCCACGATTGCAATTCCCACAATCAACCCTGAAACCTAGGAATGCTACTGAACATGGGTCACATAGCCCACCCTCCACTCTGATACCATAAGGACTCTTACTGCCCATAAAGCCTTATCACAACTCCAGGGCACCCATGGTGCTCACCCCTTTCTAATACCCAGGGCTCCACTGCCCACACTGCATTGTGAATCCAAGGGCTCACACCGACCATACACTAACTTGAAAAGTGTGCTCAGTGTCCACAAAGTACTTGGAAACCCTAGAAGCCCTTGGCCTTCACGGCTCTGGGATATTCCTGGACGTGGGCTCAAAATGGCATCAGTACAACCTGCAACTTTAGTCTCCCACTCTCATCTCTCCACGTTGATCCTTCTGTTGCCCACTGCATACATTCCACAGAGACTTTGGACCTGCACACTACTTCATCGACCTTAAGAGTCCTGAGCCTGAACCAATTGAACTCCAGATCTGGAAATTCCAAACTCATCCTGGGCCCCGAATCCCTGATGACACAGCTTTATTCTTTCATCACTCAGTTTGACCAAGTGAGACACCAGTGGCCAGAGACAGGGAAACATTGAGTTCAGTGCATGGCCAGGAGCTCTTCACATGTGCTCCTCTCTCTCCAGTCACCCTGAGCCATGGTGTTCACATAGTATTCAGGGGATGGTGCCACAGACCCTGCTTCACTGAAGATGAAGCAAAAAATGTCTTCAGATGAGTAATAAAGTAATATTAATATGATGATCATCATCATCGTCCATAGAAGCCCACATAGAAAAGGAGGTTCATGCTGCAGCTGGGACCTCTGAAAATGTCTGCAGTGCTTTGTTCATCATGTTTCATCCCAACCTCTTTATAATAAACAGTGTCCTCACTGGGCCCTACAGGATTGGAACATCCAAGGAAAGTGGAAAACAGCTGTGATGGTCAGGAGAAGTAACTGGGACAGAGCTACACCTTTCTATAAAAGGACAACAGGCTATTTGTGGTATGGTGGTAGGAAGAATGTGATGCAAGAATCTATTTCTGGAGAACAAGGTGGCCTGAGGGTGTGGTTGGTGTCCTGCAAAATGGGCTCCAATCAGCGAGACATAAGTGTGCTGTTGTTTTGAGGGATATCAGACATGCCCACTCCTTCATATTCCGTAAGCTTCTCCAGCAAGTGTCTCAATGACAGTGCAATTCTCCAGACTTTCTGTATCATGGTGATACCCTGACAACCTGAAGGCACAGGCTCTATTTCTGCCAGCTTCAATGTGTCCATGTGGAAAAGAAATGTCCCAGCTACTGGGCAAGGCAAGGTTGAGAGACCAGCTGGAATCTCCTCACCTGTCCTGGTCTCTCTCCCCTCTCCTGCTGCCATCACCTTCACATAGTACTTCAGGGGATTGCTCCACAGGTCCTTTATGTAGATCTGGTTGAAAGAAAAGAGCTGCTCAGAATACAGCCTTTGTGCTGTAGTGAGTCAGAGATGGGGCAGCTATGACACTTGCAGGGGAAGGTGTAGCACTGAGCTGGCAGCACTGGGCAGGCCTTCCCTGCCCAAGGCCTGAGGGTGGGAAAACAGTTACATATACCCAGAGGGGCAAACAAACAGACGTGTGTGAAGGGCTGACCATCAGGCACTGTGGCTATGAGGGCCCAGGAGAGGAGGAGGACTGGGGCAGTGATTACACAAAGCAACCACTACTCCTGTCCCTCCAGCTGTCATGTGTGGGCTCCCCAAGTTCAAAAGCAGCAGAAAAGCAAGAACTCAGCAGCCTAGTAATTCCTCCAATGGATCCGAAGCAGGGTGGACAATGAATCTCAGGACATGTGAAGGGACACTGGTCCAATAGGCGAAATTCCTCATCAGGATAAATAGGTGCTGAAGACACTAAGTGCTGTATGTGCCATGGCCGGTTTTGCTCAGAGGTTAGAGCAACGGCCTGCAGTCCAGAGGGACCCAGGTTCAGTTCCCGCTAAGGGCTTGTACCTCGGTTGCAGTTTGTCCCCTGCCCTGGATGGTTCGTATGCGTGGCAACCGCTCAATATGTCTCTTTCACATTGATGTTTCTCTCACTCTCTTCTCTCTCTCTCTCTCTCTCTCTTTCTCGGTCTGTCTATCTCTCTCTCTCCCACTCTATCTGAACAAGAAATGGAAAAATGCATTCTGGCGAGGAAAAGCAAAAAAATAAGGACTGGAGAATCAATCTCAGGTCATGGGGAGGGACAATGGTCCAGATGTGCAGAATTTTCCATCCAGGTACATACGTGCTGAGGACAATAAGTGCTGGAGGTGTGGCTACAGAGAGCAGACTACATGTGAATTAGAAGCACAAAAACAGACAAAGAGTGAGGGTGGAGGACTTTGCCAACAGTGGCAACAGGCCTCAGGAGATGCCCGAGCCACCAAAAATACATTTCAGAAACGGGGAAGAATCCTGGTGAAGAACCATGCCTCTTGTGGGTGCTCGGGCCTTCCTTTGAAAAATGCGTAGGTGCTTAGGGCTCCCCCAGAGGTGCGTTCTCTGGTTGGGGTGATGTGGAAGACAAACAATAGATGTGTTGCTCTCACATCATTGTTTCTCCTCTCTGCGTGGCTGTCACATCTTCTTCTCACTCTATCTGAAGATACATGGAAAAGTATCCTGAGGTGAGGATTATTCTTAAGAAAAATTGTCCTTAACCGGACCAGGGTACAAGACTGTAAATCAGAGGTCAGTCTTTTCTTGCTTCGTCATTCCAGACAATATCCGCAGAGTAGGAAACTGAAAGTTAAGGCATGCTATACATCCTCTCTATCTCCATAGATCTACTTCTCAGCCACACCTCTGGAATCTGTCAACTGCTGACTCAACAGCACCTCATTAGTCAATCTACTAAAATAAAGCATTTTTCTGGTCAAACAACCCAAGGATACAATCACATGTTGAGCTTATTCATGTCTCTTTCCATGATACTCAGGAGTCACTGTGGAGTTGAAGAGTGTGGATCCTGAGGTACCAGAGAAAAAAGTGTGCAGTGGGATCCCTGGAGTGTCACAGTGGGTATTGAAAGTGGGAGCCATGGAGGAGAGAGAGTGCAGTGAGTTCCATGGGATCTGAGTAGTATGAACTAGCAATATCGACATGGGGAACCCAAGGGATCATAGAGGTTTGTGTGCAATGAAATCTCTGGGGTGTCAAGGTCGATTGTATGTGTTGGGAGCCATCAGTTATCAAAGTGGATTTTTGGCATTGGATATGCTAATATCTTACAGTGTAAGGTGGGCAGGAATGTGGATTTTGGACACTGAGCCATGGTATGTCACAGTAGATTGGGGTCAGGAGAAAGCTCATGGTGATGTCTTGTACTGTGGAAGGCAGGGGCCCACAGATTCACTGGGGACAGTGTGCAATGAAATTGCAATGTTATCACAGTGGAAGGTGAGCTATGGAACCTTGGGCTGTCATGCTGGAAAGAAGAGAGTGAAAGCCATGCGGTGTCACAGTGGAATATGGGCTGTGGAGCCAGAGAGTGTCACAGGGGAAGCAGGTAATGTGAGCCATGGGTTCTCGGTAGAGTGTAGGCCGTGGAGATCCTGGTGCATCAAAAGACTGTATCTACTTCTGCTACATAACAGACCCAGCTATCGGAGGGACTGGTCATTGCCAGGCAGGTAATTGAAAAGTGTTCAAGGAATCTCCCCAAAGCCATGCACACGCCACACGCAGGCACACACAATGATGCTTTTTATTTATGTTTCCATATTATGCCAGCTGTCTATGTGTTTGTGTCTGAATGCCTTGCCATGATGACTCTCTTCAATTGTTTCCTGGCAGAAAAACAAAGTTTGTTGAAAAGACATTTTTCCTTCAAAATCTTTTGTGCTCTAATAACATTTGAAACAAACTGGATGATACTGCATATTCATCTCAAATATGGGATGTCCCCTGAACACAACACTCAGAATAACCTCTACTCTGAGCACATAAAAAGTATTTAATAATTCAAGCCCTTGCCAATTTACTGTGAGGTTGGAGTGTGCACCACAAATCAAAGAGTCATGAGTTTGAGGGCAGTTTAGGGCAGGTAACTCAGTACAGATTCAGGGAAGTCCTGTGGGAGGAAATTAATTTATGTGAGCCACACACATTGATTTCATGCTCTGTCTCTCTCTATCCCTCCTACTCTGTCTGAAGATAATTGAAAAAAAATATCCTTTGTGAGGATTTAAGAATGATCATCATCATCATCATCATCATCATCATCATCATCGGTCATGATTCCGGTGCCAATCAGTGAGGAAAGGTGTGTCAAAGCTGCAAATGAGATGGCTGAAATTGCCAGAGTCCTATTTTCAACATGTTCCATTCCAACAACTTTATAATGAACAGTGTTCTCAGTGGGCCCTACAGGAATAAAAAACTGAAGAAAGGGAAAATACCTGTCATGATCAGGAGAAGTAACTGGGTCAGAGCAGTGTACAGATTTCTATAAATAGACACCAGCTATTAGCAGAAGGGAGGTAAAAACAGCATGAGGCAAGAGTCTACTTCTGGAGGGTAACATGGCCTGAGAAATGGGGGTTTTGTGGCCTGAAATGAGAGTCTGAGGAGCGAGACAATGACTGAGCTGTTATTTTGAGAGATGTCTGACAGGCCCAAACCCTCATCTTTCTAAAGCTTCCTCATCAAGTATCTGAATGTCAATGCAGTTCTCCAGACTTCCTGTATCATGGTGATACCCTGACGACCTGAGGGCACAGGCTCTATTTCTACCAGCCTAAATGTGTCCTTGTGGGAAAGAAATGTCCCAGCTACTGGGCATGGCAAGGTTGAGAGACCAGTTGGGATCTCCTCACCTGTCCTGCTCCTTCTCCCCTCTCTTGGTGCCCTCGTCCTCACATAGTACTTCAGGGGATTGCGCCACAAGTCCTTTAGGATGATCTGGTTGAAAGAACACAGCTGGTCAGAATAAGGCTGGACTTTGAATATCAACTCAAGCAGCTAAAGAACACAGCAGCTCCATTGTGACAATGCAGGTGAGGCCCCACCTCTGCAATCCTGCCGGATCCCGCCACGTTGTGGTTGGAGAACCAGTTGAAGAAGTTCAGGCTGCTGTTTTGGTGCCAGCGGCTGTAGACCTCTCTTTCATAATGCTGGGACCACTGAATGGGAGTGCAGTGGGACACCCTGTATCCTGCAGAATGACGTGTATGTGTAAAAAGATGCACAAACTTTCAACCTCAACCCACCCCCTGCTGCCTTCCATGCAGGCAGCCTCCGCTTACCTTGGAGGGTAATGAGATACTCCTTCACAATCACATTATTGCAGAAATAAGGGTTCTTGTGAAAGAATAGCAATATCTTGCAGCAATCACTGGTGTGCCGGACTTCCTCCACCTGTAGATAAAATTGTCTCTGGACGGTGAAATTTGTCTTTGGCACATATGCCTTCTCTAGTTGGCAAGGATGAGGTCAATTTTCCACTCTGTCTCCCCTCCCCTGTCTCTGTTACCCCAGGCTGACCTTCAAAGTGATCATATGGCTGAGCATCTTTTCATCTTGCTCACAGATCATGGCTGACAGGTCCGGGTGGCTGACAAACTGCTTTGGGTCAAGGAGCTGCATACTGCATTCTGCACATGAAATGGCTAGAACATGGGCCAGAACTAGGGAATGGCCTTGATTTCCCTGAATTCTCTATGCCTCAGACTCCCTCTTCCACACAAGACCAAAAGGAAAACATTGGATCTTGATGCCTGCAAGGATTGACTCCAACACAGGCCAAATCTCTTGCCTAAAACACCGGATCTCCACCTGATCCTGTGTGCTGCTGGCTGCACAGAATACAGTACGCGTCCTTCTGCCCACCCAGCTTTCCTGACTCTGACTCAGGAGGTGTACACATTCACACCCTTCCACTACAGCAGTACTTCTAGTAGGAACTGGGCAACATATAGATATATATGTTGTTTTCATGAGTGTGATCTGGAACCAAGATCCTACACTAGGTTTCTGGGGGCCATACAAATGAGGCCAGACTGTGGTCTCTACACCAAGTTTGTCTACACTGTGTCTCTTTTGCTTCTGAACAGTCCTCGCTGATCCCTTTCTCCTGTCATGACAAAGCTGCATTGTGGACACCCCATTACAGCCTCAAGGATACAGCTTTGGCCCAGAATCCAGGGATGTGCACAATATGGGTGCTTCTCAGTTCTAAGTAGGGCCTGTGCCTCTGCCATATCTTTCGCTTGAGCCAACAAAAGGCCTTGCTGGCTTGCTTATTCACGGGCTCCATCTCTGACTGAAGGGCCTGGAGCCCCTCCAGCGGGGACCAGGTGCAATGCCCACCCTGCCCAGACTCGGCCTGTGCCCGCTCCTCAGACTTCTCTTCTTGCTGCTTTGCTTCATCCTCTGGTTCTGGTTGCCCCTCACCCCGCATCTCCACACCCTTCCAGATGTCCTTCCCATCCAGGACAATCTGCTTCCCAGCAATTAATTCCCCCTGGCAGGCCTCCTCCTCCTTCTGTTCCCTGCTCCTCACTTTCTGGACACAGCACGACTTCATCCCCCTTCTCCAATTGCAACACCTCTATAGGCACCACGTCTTCCTGCCTTCCCAGCTCCAGATCTAGAAAAACCTCCTCCCTTTCCCTCAGCATGCTGTGCTCTGCCACTACCTGCATCTCCAACCTGAGGCCCTGCTGCTCCAGGAGAAAGTGATGCCCGGACCACAACTCCCCCTCCTGGACCCTCTCCTCTTGCCAGGGCTCCTCACACTCAGGTCCCTGCTGATCCTCACCCCCCTCCTGCACAAAGCCCTCCTCAGACAACACCTCCTCCTGCCTCCCCAGCTCAAGGTCGGGCCAAACCTCCTCGCTGGCTGCCAACGCCGCTTCCCTTGTCACCTGCTTCCCCTCCTGCATGTTGTCCTCCAGCTGAAGCCCGCAATGTTCCCTCAGTACCGCCTCCACCCTCAGCTCCTGGGCCTCACCGCCTTCCTGCACCAACACGGTCCTGAAAGGACCCTGCTCTGTCCACTGGGCCCCTCCTCCCTGGTGCCAACGCCCCCTAGCGTCCTCGCTGCCCAGGAGGGTCTCAGTCACCTCAGGGCCCCCTACAGGGACTAAAAGACCCGAGGACTGTGGAGCCCGCTGACCCCAAACACAGCGTGACTGGCGATAGGTCCTGGCAGAGGCCTGCTGGTGCCCGGAAGTAGGTGATTGTGTTGTAGCTCACTGTCCTTAGAATCCAACTTGTCTTTAAGCTGCCCTAATTAACAACCTCAGAGACAGCAAGATAAACAATGGGGAATGTTATAGAGGGCTTTATCCCCATAAAAATTAACTAGAGTTTGACCTTCACTGGGAATTTGAAAAGCAACATCCTTCAAGAAAAGGGAGGACAGAAATGGCCCCAAGGCCAGAGTGTCCTGCATGCTCTGTAAAGAAACTGATAGGGAGAAACTGAAGCTCCCTTTACCCCATAAAACTGTAACTGTTCAACATGTGTGTATTGCACCTGACTGACCGCTAATATCTGTCTCGAATTGGTTAGTTTTTAAAACTTGGATAATGGAATGAATAGCAGGACAGATGTATGCTGACCCAGTTCACCCAGTTCCCTTTCGCCTCAGCTCCCTCCCCCCTCCGTTCCCTCCTGCTTATGGCTAACTGCCTCGACTTCTGTACACGCAGCTTGCTTGCTCTGCTAAACTCTTGAATGACCCCTGCCCTATATAAGCAACCCTCCCCCTGAGCTCCGGGCTGCAGTTCTCCTCTGTGTAGGTTGGCTGCAGTCCCTGCGCAGGTAATAAAACATCCCCAAAAACTGAAAAATGGAGTCTGAGTGTGGTCGATCTCCTGGGTTACAACAATTGGAGCAGGGCGACTGCAGAGCCCACGAGGTCCGCTGCCAAAGCTGAGGCCTGTGTGTGGATCCGGCACTTCCTGTACGTGCCCAGGAACGCAGGGCCTATGCAAATGAGATTGTGTCTAAGTCACATGAATTGGCTGTCCTGCTGGCCACGCCCCATGGCCTTTCCCAACAAACAGGCTCTGCAAAGTCTCTTCCAATCAGAGCGCGCTCAGTGGGCGTCACCCCACACAGCCCCGCCCTGAGGGGAGGCTGCCTCCTTCTCCCCAGGAGCCCAGAGTCCCTGGGGAAGGCCGTCCTCCCTCCACCCCGCTGGCCTTCCTGCGACGTCTGCTGGTCACCCTGCCTCTCCCCGCCGCTTCCCAGTCCAGGAGTTTCCCGCCTCACTCTGCCCCTGGTCCTCAGGGACCCTGGGCACAGACAGGGCGGGCGTCCTGGGCAGGAGAGCCTCTCCCGGCACCTCGGGTAGCTGAGGTCCCAGGTGCAGGCAGGGGAAGGCTGTGTCGGGAGGGCCCGGTCCTCCGTCCTGGGAGAGTGCAAAGCTCAGGGACCCGGTCACGGGAAGACTCCTGCTTCTCTCTAGTTTCCGTCCTTCCTCTGCCCTTGGTGTCTGTGCTCTTTGCGGTGAGCCCTTGCCCCCGTGTCCCTCACCTCTCCACCCGCGCCGGGGTCAGTCATAGCCAGAAAGTGTCTCCAGTGCAGGGAAGAGTTGACTTGTGTGCTATTAGGCCGCAGTCCTTTTACTATGTCATTGATATTTCCCAGGAGAAGGGTTGAGAGAGATTCACCCGATGAACATGACGTGAGAGAAAGCAGATGCAAGAGGGAAACCTCTGCTCGCCAACTAGCTGATCCACGCGGCCAGGGACAGGACAGCTCCATTACGAAGACTTGCTCAGTAATGCAGCCACCTCTCCCTTCATCCATGGACATCCGTTGTGTGACCAAAAGAATTCAAACGCTGTGGAACCACCTCATGTGCCATCCTTTCTAAGGCATCTGAAGACAACCGTGTCTCCTCCAAAGCTATGATTCAGTACAATGCCAGGTTCCATGACATTTTGAGAGCAGCACTGAGAGAGCTCCCTCTGGCTTGCTAACATGGCAGCACCAGCCAGAGTATCCTGCAGTGTTTGAGTTCAAACAGGTGCTTTTCAGCCCCTGATACATCTGCAGACAGTGGGGGCTGTTCACATAGGAACCGGGACTGTGCCCCTAAAAGTATATTGAAACAAGTAGGCTTTTTTGTTTCTACTCTGGGGGCTCATGTTGGGGGTCCACACAGAATTTCCATCCCAGCTGACCACAAGAAGCAAAGCAGCGACAGTTTATTTTTGCTCTGAATGCAGAAAATCCAGAATTCTTTTCAGAGGCTATGCAGGTGTCAACAACAGCAATGTAAGAGTGTGTAAACTGGTATGCAAAGAGCCATGCCATGCTCCCACGGTGAAATACAGTGAGTTTTCTACCGATTCAGGTGTCCTGTGCTACAACTTCACCACTGCTTGACAAGAGAATATACTTTGCTGTTTGGGGCTTTCCTCTATGTGTGAATAAGGTGATTGGTCTCCTCTGGCTCACAGTGGATGAGGCTTTGGTCAATGGTGCCATTAGTATGACCAACCAATGCAGGTGTTGCAAAGTGTCCCTGCCAGATACACCCAGGACTTATTACATACTTCGAATGTAACAAAACACCTCTGACCAATACTCCCCGACAATGCCTTCATCTCTGATGCCCAGATTCTGGGCAGGTATTTTTATACACGTTTATTTTGCACAACACTCTCTTTGATTCTGGTTTCCAGTCCAATCACCCTGAAAATATCAACAGAGTTCAGTCATGTAAATGACAGATCTCTGACAAAATGAATATAAGTGTTAGATCCCAAGACAAAAAACAAAACAAAAAACCTACAGCTCAGGTATGACAGTGAGGGTCTGCTCTCAGCAACTGGACACAGTTGCTGTTCCATGATCAATGTACAAGATTTGTCACAAGAAGCCAGTCGGGACTTCCTCCAGTTCTCAGGCATTACTCTGAGAAAACAAAATAAAATTTAAGGCATCTGGACTCTTGTCTCCAATTTCATAGCCCTGCTTCTCTGCCCCAATTTGGGATTTTCAGGAGTTGCCCATTCAACAGCTTTTGTGAGGTCATCTACTCAACACTACTTCATTTCCTCTGATAGAAACAGCACAAAGAAGAAAAAACTTACAGGCTTCTTCATTAATTCTTTTAGATCAATGTCAAGATGTGAAATGTTTGCACTGTAAATGTTCCACAGGCTATTCCTTCCTCTTCCTTTAAAACTGAGTGTGAGACCATCCAGAATCTCTCAGCATTGCTGAGCAGGGGCAGAGTTTACATATGTACACTTCTGATTATGGAGTGTTCCTTGACAGACACACACAACCAAAACGCATGTGCATATGTAAGAACCCTCTGACTCACAGTGTCCTCAGGAAGGAAGCGCCCCTTCTGAGCCATGTTTCACTTTACTCCCCCAGTACTTCTTATTGGCCTCCACAGCCTGGTCACAATGTCACCATTGTGGGCTTGGCAGAGGCACACTGATGGGGGATATAAGACCAGGAAGAAGCCTGAATTGGAAGCACAGACCAAGGATAAGACACCTGAGGTTAGGACCTTGTTTAGATTAGCGGGGAGACCAGGGAAGTGCCAAAAGGACAAGAAGTACTACTGCAGAAATTTGGTGAATCAACCGGTTCCTTCCCCAGGGACCCATGAA